ATTTTGGATACTATTTTGGACTTTTCGGTACCAAAATTGGGTATTAGGTACCGCATTTGGAATTTGCTCCCTTTTTGGTGTCTAGGTACGATATCGGGAGTACTGGCGCTATCTTTGGAGCGCAGGTCACGAGATTTCGACACGTGTTCAAGGGGGCGGTCAAGCTTAAAGGTGATATCGACTTGGAGAGTGACCTATGGTTGGGAATTGGCTTAATGATAGGTCGGATATTAATTTGGTTGGTTAATAAACAGACTTGAACTCTACTCCTTCTACTCACGACGCACGTTCTCCTCCCCTCTTCTCCGGGCAAGATTGATTTGGCTTCCCTGGCGGGTCAAGACACGCGTGTTTCAGGGACACAGAAGACCGATCTTGGATTGTTGGACAAGATCGAGAAGAGAGATCTCGGGATATCTGGCCCGGATCGATCAAGTACTCACACTCAACTCAACTGCTATGGTAGCAGCAAGCAACAACAAAGGATAAGGATCTTGGACACAAGATCGCGAGACGGCTCAAGTGGTCAGAAGATCTGGACAAGGCGTTCAAGACAAGACCGAGCAAGATCGAAGCGATCTACTGGACATATCGGCGTGTTTCATTTTGGCGAAACCAAGAACCGATCTGTCCATATTGCACACTTCCGGCAAGATCGGCCGATCCCGAGACCATATCGGACCGATCCCAAGGCAAGATCGACGCAAGACAACTATTTGCTGAGTGAAGATTTCCGCACAGCAAAGACCCCGATCCCGAAGACCAATGGAGATCGGTGTGATTCAAGATCGAGATCGCGACATCTCCAAATAGAGATCGCCGCGCCACAAGATCAAGATCGCAGAACCCCTGTTCGTGGTGTGAAGATTTCCGCACCGGAAGCGAACAATCAACCCAACCTCTCAGCGAGATCGACATCTCCCAAGGCCATTACGAAGAGCTCAAGCCAGCCCAACCGACGGATACACAAGGTGAGTACAAGGCTATACAACAAGGCACGGATCGTAGTACCCCCTCCGTGAGTCGGCAAGTCTGGGCAAGTGGAAGATCGACATTCACTAAAGTAATTTTGTGAGATCGACTTCACCACATAGGTGCACAGGTCGGCCGTGGTTGTACTTCGATCTGAATTTGCTCCTTTAAGGCTTCGATCTTGGCCTTGACGATCCGGTCCTGTAGGAACTATCCTCCTGACGGTCTTAGAGACATACGGCTAATGCTGATGGATTCGTCTATCTCGATCTCAGAGTCATCTGAGGCATAGTGGGGAGATCCTGTGAGGTGCTCCCGGAGTGATTCCGAGTGTATAGAGACCTTGTCTTTAGGCTTAGTGGCTTCGCCCACAATAAGTGTCATGATCCCCACGAACTTGCTCCTTGCGTCCTCCAACTGTTCCAAGCTTCAACTCAGCAGTTCATCTCCATCAAAAGCATTAGCGCAAAAACCCATGTCGTCTAACATCCGCAAAATCAAGTTAATCGCGTCGAGTTTGTTGGTACCTGAAGGTGGGACCGAGATCGACTTATATAGAGGGCCGATCAACTTGGGCCATAATATGTTGAGCACCGGGTCCGTCTTGAGCATTGTCTTCAAATGGATATAATAGCGCTGCCATTTCGCATGCTCCCACGACTTGCCTGTCGTTTCATTCTCCATAGAAGCGATCTTCTTTTGATCATATTCGGTCTTTTTCATCGCGATCTCGTCCTGTTCTTGATCGTATTCCTCTTTAGCTCCGATCATCGATTGCACAGTTTGGTCGATCTGGCGATCTTTGCCTTCCGATCCCACCTATCTCATCGTGGATAGTTTTGGTGTGGTAGATCTCATCATCGTTGCCTCGGCTTGAGGTCGGGCGATCTATCGACGAGAAAATAGGGTTTGGCTTTCGCCGGTTTGGTTTTCATCATTGGATTTTCATCCAGCAGATCGCTCTTTGCAGATAGCTCTGCGGTGGCCCCCGAAAGGACCCTAAGAAGGAATTGTGGTTTATCTTCCAGATCGATCTCTCGATCTTCCTCTTTCATTTTCATTCCATCAGAGCCCCTCCCAAAACTCTGATGATCTGAGGATCTCGTGCTTCTGCGTGTCTGCGTCGATCCCTCTATCGCTGACACTTCAATTCCAGGTTCTTGATTGATCTTGACATCTTCGCCAGTGGACTCACGGTAAAATCCCGAGGCCTCAAAAGATCCGGGCACGCGCACCATAGTGGTGAAGTAGATCTCACAAAATCGCTTGTGTGAATGTCGATCTTTCACTTGCCCAGACTTGCCGACTCACGGAGGGGGTACTACGATCCGTGCCTTGTTGTATAGCCTTGTGCTCACCTTGTGTATCCGTCGGTTGGGCTGGCTTGAGCTCTTCGTAATGGCCTTGGGAGATGTCGATCTCGCTGAGAGGTTGGGTTGATTGTTCGCTTCCGGTGCGGAAATCTTCACACCACGAACGGGGTTCTGCGATCTTGATCTTGTGTCGCGGCGATCTCTATTTGGAGATGTCGCGATCTCGATCTTTAATCACTCCGATCTCGATTCGTCTTCGGGATCGGGGTCTTTGCTGTGCGGAAATCTTCACTCAGCAAATAGTTGTCTTGCGTCGATCTTGCCTTGGGATCGGTCCGATATGGTCTCGGGATCGGCCGATCTTGCCGGAAGTGCGCAATGTGGGTGGATCGGCGTCTTGTTTCGCCAAAATGAAACGTGGCAATCTGTCCAGTAGATCGCTTCGATATTGCTCGGTCTTGTCTTGAACGCCTTGTCCAGATCTTCTGACCACTTGGGCCGCCTTGCAATCTTGTGTCCGAAATCCTTTTCCTTTACCGTTGTTTGCTGCTACCCTAGCAGTTTGAGTTGAGTTGAGTTACCTTAACCCCACCTTGGCCAAACAATCTAAGGTGATTACACGAAACACGGCGCGTGCGACGTCTCTTGGTCGACGGGAGGCCAAATATCCTGCCCGGAAGAGAAGTCTGCGACGTGCTTTATATGTAAAAACGGTAACTGTTTTATTATCCAACCAAATTAATAGCCATCCTATCCTTAAAGCCTATTCCAAACTGTAGGTCACTATCCAAACCGATATCACCTTTAATCTTGGCCGCCCCCTTGAACACGTGTCGAAATCTCGTGACCTGTGCTCCAAAGATAGCGCCAATACTCCCAATATCGTACCTAGACACCAAAAAGGGAGCAAATTCCAAATGCGGTACCTAATACCCAATTTTGGTACCGAAAAGTCCAAAATAGTATCCAAAATGTGGAACGTGTTTAAATCCATTTTACGGCGTCAATTCAACCGGCTTCCACTAGCTCTTACGATCTGAACTTTTGCGACATCACTCATGGACCTTCAACAAGCATGTTTATCACGATTCAACAGCTCCATCACCGATATATCCATAATCAGCAGGGAACATGACCGATCTGATGCCCAATTCGAGATTGTTGAGGATCGACACAGTGAGATCCGGCCCTATATGTTCTTCCGTTCGTTGTGCATGCTCCGATACCATCCTCAAGGGTTTATCTGCTCAATGGGACCATCCTTAGTTCTCACAACGGTCCCACGGGCTCCCACAAACATCCCCACTTCCAGATCGGTCCATAATTGACCTAAATCAGTACTCCCTTCGGGAGACCGGTAACGAGTGTCACCGATCTGATGGATTTCGGCACCTTTGTCACAGAGTCACCTCACATCGCCAGGTCCCATGGTCTCATTTTCCACCAGTAAGTGACACCTTAACTGCGTGGTCACCGATCCACGTCCCATCATTTGATTAGTGACTTTACCACACCGGCTGGTCGTCGATGAGGCTCCTCGAGCGTTGATAGACCAATGCATTCCTAATCTCTCAACGCTACCAGTCGAAACATCTGCAAGCTATGCCACTCGAGGTTCGACGGCATGAATAATCAAGACCACGTAGGAACTTACCTTAAGCGTACGCGTATCCTGGACTTCGAAAATTCTGCACTGTATTGATTCATCTCTCTTACTGAATCGCCCAGTCAGTTTGAATGGCTCTCTTTCCTTCTTCTTTTTACTTGCACATATACGTGATAAACGGAGATCGAATTTTTCAGCACCCTGTAGTTATTTCAGACACTCACCGCCTTCGGCTTCAACCTTTACGGTATCACCATTAACCACTCTCTGGAAAGTCTTACGTGTAAGATCGGATCAGCTTTGGGACGGAATATACTTTTTTGTACCAGTAACAAGTAACGACTTCCACACTACCGCGCCGACGTACTGATCGCAAGCCTACCAATTTCGATCTTGACATGATTCTACCGAACAGCAAAATTACCTCTTTTAGCAGTGCCGCTGGAGAGGCCTAACTCGTGTTTACTGTGTCCTACAACTTACACGACTCTCCTAAACTACCGCATCTACATACAATCTTTGGAATATGAGCTACAGGGTTACATCAGCAACAATCCAACGTACTTGAAGTTCTCATCCACATACTCATGTCGAGTCCAATTTGCGGTTCCGGGGGGCCTTCGTCGAAGGCTTCTTCCCGTACCGTAGTTCCCTTGCTTTTCAACGATTAGCTCACCCCCACTTACTCCCACTTCATAATTGTGGGCGAACTAGTGTCTAGCACTCTCGTTCGATATATTCTTTCTCTGTCGAACGAATTATATTAGCTAAGAAACTTGTTGGATACAATGTAATAATGAACGTAGCGGCACAGCCTTTACCGTTAGGGTATCGACGCACCATCGGTAAGGTACTTTACCACCGTTAGCGTGCTGTATCGTTGACCCACGTGTTCCCCTCAGAATCGAATAATCGATGTCAAACGACTCTTTGCCAAACACAATACTGAATCAAACAGGTCCACCAAATGACATGTGACTCCGCTCCCGAATATGTGACGAGGCTGTCTGTTGCATGCGGGTCCGACTTGCCAAGTGTCCTTTTTCGGTCCAAAAGCTGACACTTTGCTCGGGACACGAGTCGCGCGTGGCAGAAACGCTCCGCATGCAATGACTGGAGACGGCGACGGACTGCGGCGAGGCCGTCGGCGCCCTCCGCTGCCCCACCGCCCGCGCATCGCCCACCGCACGTCCGCGCAGCGCGAACGAGCGGCGCCAGACGTGGACTGGGGGCACTCGCTGCAGCACTTTGCGGCCGTCGTGCGGGACGACCTGCGCGAGCTCTCCGCTCGCTTTGTCCACGAGGTCGGCCCACTCTCTCTGCCCATTCTGTCGCCTGAACGCCGCAATCGGTCGATCCTCTCCATCTCATGTTGTCCGTCTGTTGCTACTTGTGCCTCTCTGTCTCTGTCTCTGTCGACAGAACGTCGTGACGTTTGCTGCGTGGAAACGGCTCTGGACCGAGACGCGCATGAGTGCCGCCTTCCTCGTCGAGTTCTGGGAGAGTACGCCCACGGACGTCCACAAGACGATCCTGCAACAGACGCTGGACGAAGCGGTCTCGCTCGTTGACGAGCACGACGGAGTGTTCGACACGGCAGCAGCCGTTGCGGCCCTCGTTGGCCGTGTGTTTGCCATGTATTGCGCCTACTCGGTGCAACTCGGCTCGCCCAAGCACAAAATTGACACAGACCCGCAGGACTGGACGGCGCTGCTCACGATTGACTGCGTCATGGCCGGTGTGGGCGCTGCACTGCTCCCGACTGGCGCACGCCAAGCGAGAGCGATGCTGCATCGGCTGGTCGCGCACGAGCACGCTTTTCTTCGCTGCTTGCAGGGCTTTGGACCACGTGTTCGCGTGAAGAAGCGCCCAGCAAGGGCTGCGGTGGACGCCAGTCGAGACGTGTCGCTCCACGACGGCGCTGCGATGGCAAAAGACGCGCTAGTAAGTGTCTGTCCATTCTCTGGCTGTTGTCTGCAGCGCAAGCTCATCTGATTGCAATGTGACTTGTCTGGCCAGGTCGACCGAAGCAGAGTGAAACAGCTAAGCACACTAGACAAGCGCTACCAAGACCTCGTGCGTCGAGCGCGAGCTGGGCCGTCTGTACCGAATGCTAGCGCTGGACTAGATGCGCGTCCGGCTAATGTCGTCGTCTCAACATCCCGGCTTTCCAAGCCACTAGCTCAAGGAGCAGAACATGACGGCCAAGAACTGACCCGTGCATTGACTTTGTACGTGGAGTACAAAGCAAACGAAGAGGCCCGCAGACGCGATCGCGTTGCGCGCGCAGCGGCTGTGCGTGACCTCGACAGCAAGACAAGTATGCTTGGACCGGAAGATGATGGCAGTGCCACATCGGATCTGAGCGATCAAGGCAGTAGTATTGTGCCTCTCCCGTCCAGTGCCATGGCCGTATCTCTTGCTTCCAGTCGGCGTGGGTCACACAGAAGGCATCACAGCAGTGGCGGTAGTGAGGACGCTTTGGCTGAGCTCGAGTCTGAGCTACACGAAAACATTCTGGGCGGCCAGGTCGAACCAAGTCGTACTCAACCACCTCGAAAGCTGAAGAGAGGCAATTCATCCTCAAGGTTGAGTGAAATCAGTGAAGCAGACAGCGACGCCCTCGCCGATCTTGAGGACGAATTGGAGCAAAGTTGTGGCATTGTGTCATCGCAAACTCAGAGGGATGAACTGCCAGGAAAGGCAAAGACGCGCACAAACCGAAAGCGTGGCAGGGACCGTGCTTCCGCCGGCATCGTCTTGAGAAACACCAAGCCTACAGCGGTATCCACGGCAACATCTGCTCGGGCTCGATTGACACCAAAACGGCCGAGAAGTGATTCGGTGGCAAGCTCACTATCAATTGCAGATTCGTGGACTGTGTCTTCGATCGCTGACAGTGATGGACTGGCTGCAATCCAAGCCGAGCTCGATGCTGTTCCTACGCTTCCGGGGTCACAGAAGAGCAAGTCTACTCCCCGTCGTCTCACTGATCATCAGGCGCCACCAGTCGAGTTGAGGAGCAGTGCAGTGCACGATTCGACAGCAAAACCAAAAGCCAAGCAAGTGGCTCGGCAAACTGCTGACCGTGCAAGTGGAAGGTGTACAGCCTCTGTTCAGCCCAAGAAGTGTGAGCTGTCGTCAACGAACCAGCGCGCAAAGGGCAAGCCAAGAGCATTGTCACTGCTTTCGGACAGCAGCGAGTGTAAAGGTCAGCCTGAAGCAGAAGTCGACTTGACTACCAGCTTTTGCACGTCTATCGCAGACAGACCCCGGAGATCGTCTCGATTGGTGTCTGCGGCATCAGAAACTGGGAGCGACGCCATCGATGAGCTGGAGAGAGAACTCAACGCCAGTGCGGCAACTCTCACTGCAATCGCGCCATCACCGATGCCAGCATCAACCAGGCAGGCACCACGCAAGCGAGCGGCTGTACCATCAAAGCGTGCCGGTGAACGTACATACACTCGAAGTAGCGCGAAGAAGTTACGACTTCGTGAGGCGACCACGTCAGTTGCAGATGGCCAACCTTCGTCTGCTCAGACGTTTCGCGCGACTGAAGGCACGCAGCGTGCAGTGCCGATTGCACGCCAGGGATCTTCTCGAATAAGTTCCGTCATGTCAGATACCGAGAGTGATGGACTGGCAGATTTGATGGCAGAACTCGACACCATCGCCACGGTCCGAACAACAAGTACTCGACCACGTCAAGAGAAGGACGCTCATGCTACAAGTGTCAACACGCGCTCTACAGCTCGGGAGAAGTCACTTGTTTTGCCGGGTCCAGGCGTGTCTCACTCCGGTACAGCTCGATCGGTGATTCCATCCTCTACCGTGACACCATCTGACGCCGTCAGCCCGCCACGACGTTCCGCTCGTTTGAGCTCATTGGCCGCATCAGATACTGAGAGCGACGGCGTAGGCGAGTTACCATCAGACACCGCTAGTCTTCTGCGACGCTCTGCTCGTTTGAGTTCCCTGGCAGCATCCGATACTGAGAGCGATGGCGTAGAAGACTTGATAGCTGAACTTGAAAGAGGTCCAGCTGGGAATCGTGTGATGACGAGCACAAAGAAGCCCAAGGCACGAGTACGAGCGACTCGAAGGCAATCAACTCGTGCGTCGGGAGTGAAGCCGAGGCAAAACCGAGCGAAAAAAGAACCGAAAGCAGTTCGCGATCCCCGTGTCGGGACTCGGCAAGCAGCTCCACGAAAGTCAGCTGCCATGCTTTCCACTCTTGAGCACCCGACTGCACCAAGAAACTTGCCCAGCTCTCGACGGTCTACTCGATCAAGTTCGGTAGCCTTTGACAGCAATAGTGAAGATTTAGCGGAACTGGAAGCCGAGTTGCAAGCTGGATACGCCCGACGCTAGAATTGGTTTGAACCAGTTCCTGCCATTATTGGAGTACGAGACTGCCGAACAAAGAAGTAAAGCTCTGCAGGGAGCAAGTGTGCCGCGGACGAGAAAAAGTGTGAATCTGCTTAGCGTGGAATCCTCGCATGCAATGAGGTTGGAGTCTTGACCAGTACAGTCAAAGTCTGCTGGTTGTAACGGTCGAACTCGGCTACGCGGGTAGTTTTGTTCCAAAGCACGTGCTTCCAGTGTCCACCACAGCCTTATCAGCACCGCTTACACCTTACGTCCTTTCGCTGCCTCTGAGATTTGAGCAGGGGCAGCAACGTCCGACAGGAAAGTGCATGTCAACCCGTCTTCTTGACAGTACAACATGCAAACGGACAAACAACAGCGAAGTCTCCACAAGGCCTCAACGTTCGATCGAACGCACCAGCGAGTACGGGCACGCCCCGTGAGCACACGATTGACACTCTTGGCCATCAGCCCTCTACTTCGGCAGCCCTCTACTTGCTCTTACCCTCGACATCAGTACCACTCGAGTCGCTGCCTGCTACTGCTAGATCCGGTGCGAAGCAGAGGATGCCAGCACTGAATGCAGCAAGACATGCCGCACCGTACGCGGGTCCATCGATCGAAGCAACGTACGTCCATCCTGACAAAACTGAATCGGGAATTCGCAGTAGGTAGACCACATTCGTGACAGATGCGTCAAAACGTGCAACAAGTATGATCAGATAAGCGTCTACTACACTTACCTGGTCCGACGGTTCTGGATACAGACTACATAAGCATCCCAGATCAGCAACAGCGGTCAATGCCAGGACAGCGCGTGCATCAGTCCACGTTGGCTTACCGTCAGAGACGAAGAGACACCCATGAAAGTCCCTATGTGTTCCTGCGAAACGAGCGTGGTTTGTAGCGCCAGTGAGCTAGCACGGGTGATGCTACAAGGCGCGAACCCACACAGCGCAGACGGATCAGATGCACCTCAAACACGATGAGCGACCGCCAGAGCACCTCACCTAATGGAAATGACCTGAGGCACAAGTGTCAAATACACTGTACTGATTGCTGTGGCGCCCGAAAGGACAAAGAACGTCATTGCGTACGTGACAACTGATAGTTGCAGCACCAGCATGTTGGACTTCACAAACTTTGTGACAAACCCAACCGAGAAACTGCCAACGACGCCCAGCAGACCCATGTAACTCAGCATCAACCCGCGATCCTTCGAATCCATCCCGAACTTGTCCTCCAGCAGCACGGAAAAGTGCGTGCGATACAAAACAGCTGCCATCGTCAGCAACAGTCTCGCCATCAGCAGTGTCTGCGCCGACTTGGACGCTTTCACAATGTCTCGAATCCCACCGAGTTTCGTCCACGCGTTGTGCAGGACGTGTTGCCAGTCCACAGACCGACCGCGTTCGTCCTTCGCTTGGCTTTGCAACATATCCGCAGCAGTTTCCGTCGACACGACAGCCTCGCAGCTCTCTGGATCCGCGTAAAAGCGCGACACGAGGCAACAGTTGACCCCAAAGAGTGCCGTCGTCAGCAGCGTCGCGTAGCTGAACCCGTTCGGCACACTGCTCACGTAGCCTCCGACGGTCGGGCCGACAACAAAGCCCGCGTTGATCGCTGCATGGAGTCTGCCAATGATCACGGCGCGTCGCTCGGCCGGCTCTCCGTCCGTGACGGCCACTTTGATGAGGTCGAGCGTGTGCTTGAACAGCGCGGCCGGGACGCGCGACACAAAGACGACGTAGACGTTCCACGAGAGCGCCAGCAGCAGATAACTCAGCGACGTACCTACGAGACACGACAAGAGCACGCGCTTGCGGCCGTAGCGGTCGCTCAGGCTGCCGACCAGCGGCGCCGCGAAGAACTGGAGACAGCCGTAGACGGACAGGAGTAGGCCAAAGACCAGTGCGCCAGCGTCCATGGACTTGACGTACTGCGGGAGCGCCGGCAGGATCATAGACACGCCCAACATGTCGAGGAACGCGACGACAAAGAGCACGCGACGTGCCGCGCGGGGGCGGGCGGCGGCCATGTTTTGTGTCCGACGCCCGGGCGCCCGCTTTTGTCCGGTGCGCAGGACCGCCCGGCGCAAATTGTGCTTTTCTTTGCTGCCGCTCGATCGTGCTTTTTTCGCACTCTTGGCGCAGCGCGCAGTCTCGGCTAAGTAGCCGCTACGTAGTCGCAGCCCTCGCGTCGGCCACCCGTCGCCGCACCCCCACACGCCCATCGCCCGCGTCCGCTGCCGCTGCTGCTCTGCTGACGGCTATGACGGCGTCTACGCGCGTGACGATCGGCGCCGGTCGCCTCTCGATCGCAGACGTCTGCGCGGTCGCTGCGCTCGACGCGCCGGTCGCTCTCGACGCGCCAGTGGCTCTACTTGCGACCGCGCCGGCCGCCTGTCGGCTCCAGTGGTCGGCGCGCTCGTGCGCCTCCGCCTCTCTCTCCTCTTGTGCGGCGTCTGCGTCGTCTGCGTCGCTTGCAGTGCGCCGCGCGACGCTCGTGCTGCTGCTGCACCGTCTGCTGCACTTGCAGTCGGTCGAGAATGCGGCGCACGTGGCCGCACTGCTCAACCAGCCGCTCGAGTCGAGCGCTCCTGTGGCCGCCTGCGCCGTCGATCTGCCCGTCGCGCTCGCCCCCGCAGCGCAGGCGCTCGTGCACCAGACGCCGCTCACGCTGTTGGCAGAGGCGGTGCTGACTGTCGGCGGGGCGCGCGCTCTGCTGCCGGTGGCGGACGCAGTGGCTGCGATCACGTGCGAGTCGCTGCGCGTCGACTCGCGCGCTTTCGACGCAGAGTTTGTCGACAGCGCGCGGCCCCATCGCGGCATTCTCACGTCGGCGCAGAACCTGCGGCTGCTGCTGGACGGGTCCAAGTACGTCAACAGGCAGCAAGTGGACGTCGCGGCCATGACCAGTGTCCGCTGCGTCCCGCAGTACCACGGACCGGTGCGCGACGCTGTGCTGATGGCCTACAAGACTGTCGAAGCTGAGGTCAGCGGACTGGGGCGCTGGGGCGGGTCCGCCGACGTGGAGATCCACCCGCAAGTGCTGCAGACAGCGCTCTCGAGCACGACCGACGCGCTGCACGTGCTGCTTCGAGGCAGTACGGATCGTCTCCGGCTCCTCGGCGCTACGGCTGCTGACGTGCCGTGCACGATCCACGCTGTCGCGCTCGTGGAGACAACTGCCGCTGCACTCGCACGTGAGCTCGTGCCATCGTTGCAGTTTTTCACCGAGGAAGAAGCGCAGCTGAAACGTTCGCTGGCTGAGAAGACTGCGAAAGCGCACGAGGCAGCGGCGAAAGCTGCAGCTGCGGCGGCCAAGGAAGACGCGAAGCTCGCGGCGATGTCGGAAGCACAGCGCAGCAAAATCATGGACAAACGCCGCAAAAAACTGGAGAAGCAGCAGGAAAAAGAGACCGCAAAGAAAAGCGGCAAAGAAGAGCTGAAGATCGGTCTCGGTAGCCAGGCAGTGCGGCAGTACCTGCTCGCGATTGGCGACGCGTGGCAGACGCGTGTGGAAAAGTCGGCGTTCGATCTACGTGCTTCTGGCCTGTCGTCGTTCTTGGAAGGACTGTTTGTGCGTTTGGGCAGTGGCGGCGCTCGTCGCAAGCCGAAGATCGCCAAGGGCTCGCAGGACTTTTTGCCGCACCAGATGGCTCTGCGTGAGAAGATCTTTAACAAGATTCGCATCGTTTTCAAGCGTCACGCCGGTGTCGAGATTGAGACGCCTGTGTTTGAGCTGAAGGAAACGCTCACGGGCAAGTATGGAGAGGACAGCAAGCTCATTTACGACTTGGCTGACCAGGGTGGAGAACTACTGGCGCTGCGCTACGATCTGACAGTGCCATTTGCTCGCTTCATGGCCCTACACAGCCCTGGCAACATCAGGCGCTACCATATCGCTCGTGTCTATCGCCGCGACAACCCACAGATGGCCCGCGGTCGTTTCCGTGAGTTTTACCAGTGCGACTTCGACATCGCTGGTACGTACGCACCCATGCTCCCAGATGCCGAGGTTTTGTCGATTGGTATCGAAGTACTGCAGCAGTTTCCGGAGCTTGGCCCTGTGAAAGTGAAAGTAAGCCATCGATTGCTCCTGGATGCTATTCTCGCGATCTGTGGCGTGCCAGCTGACAAGATTCGCACAACGTGTAGTGCGATCGACAAGCTGGATAAGGAGCCGTGGAGTGAAGTACGACGCGAGATGGTGGAGGAAAAGGATATTCTGGAGGAAGTGGCCGACCGTATCGAGCCGTTCGTGTGCAAAGTGGGCTCGCCGCGCGAATTGCACGAACAGCTCGTGAAGGAAAACATGTTTGGCGACAACGTTGACGCGCGCCGTGCCATGGACGAGTTGGCGCTGCTCTTCAACTATCTCGAGGCCATGGGCGTCCTGGATTATATATCGTTTGATCTGAGTCTTGCTCGTGGACTGGACTACTATACGGGTCTCATCTACGAGTTTGTGTTGACGAGTCCGGAGCACGAAGTTGGCTCGATCGCCGCCGGTGGACGCTACGACAATCTTGTGGGCATGTTCTCCGCGACGGACCAGCAGATCCCCTGCGTAGGTGTTAGTCTCGGTATCGAGCGTATCTTCGGCATCCTCCAGGCCCATGCCGAGAAGCAGATAACTAGCGCGGCCTCCCCGTCACAAGTCCTGGTCGCGTCCACGAGCAATGGTTTGCTGATACCGCGATTGGAGCTATGCAAGCAGCTGTGGCTGTCTAACATTTCGGCTGAAGTAATGCAGACGGAGAACCCCAAGTTTATCAAGCAGCTGCACTACGCTTTGGAAAGTGGCACGCCGTATATGGTGGTAATTGGCGAAGACGAGTTAGCCAAGGGTGTCGTGAGGGTGAAAGACATGGCGTCGAAGGATGAGGTGACTATTGAGCGTACCGAGCTTGTTGCCGAGCTGCTGCGTCGAGGATGCCGAACGACCGATACACTCAGTGTGTGAGCATATGCAGAGCAGTGTGATGGCAGATAGATGTGTCTCTGCTCAGTGCAAGTGCATTTGCATGGGTAGGCTGCAACAATGACGCTTACGTATGCCAAGAAGCGCAGAGTGACCGGCGCTGTGGTAGCTCACAATAGTCAAGTACTAAGATACGGTCATGTTTGCGTTTGTTCGCATAAACGTCTCTGCGTTCGCTTTTGGCGTAGTCAGGGTCCGACTGGCTGGGAATACCTGCCTAGTAGTTTGGCGTGAATTCCCAGCATTTGCACCACCGTAGTATCGATGGCTACCATCTTTTTGTGACTCGATCGTGTTTGTGGCTGTCTGTAGTCGGAATTGAACAGTTTGCTGTTGCAGAGGAACTCGGAAATGTATTTATGAGTGTAAAGAAAACGTCACCTTTTCACTTGTCGCTGAGAATGTACAACGCAGTGCAATCCAAAGTCTCGACTACACACCTAGTCAGCTTGTGCTTGACACATACCGCAGTGTCGACGGCGAAGGAGCAATCTTCGGTCTGAGGCATTTACCACGAAACAACTGCAGCGGCAAACAAGCGTTGCGAGACCTGATCGTTTTTCCAGTCGCTCGATCCACACACAGCTTGTTTACAAGTCTCACGACATGAAGTAGGAACCATACAGTTGAAGCGCTCCCGGATCGGCGCGATCTTGACATATAAAATGGACTTCGTACGGATCAATCTCAATTCTGACCTTCCTCTCGCATAGCAACGAGTGGTGCAATCGATTGTGCCATGTATGATGTATATGTGCATTTATGTTGTTACAGGTATAGTACGTGTAGAAACGGTGGCTACCACGATTCTTGGTGCGTTGCCAGAGTTAACGTGTATCGAGAAACGTTTGCGTCCTACAAATAATCTACCCAGATATTCACCAAAACCTTGTGCTGTCAGCTGTTGCCACTTGCGTGGCGTCAACACAGAATGGACATATCACTGGTGCAACGGGGTGGGCCCATTGGGTGTCATTGATAATAAATAATTCGATTTGAGTTCTATTGTAACTCTCATATCGATCAGTATGACTAACCTAAGGGAATAATGATAAAATATTAGCTTTAAGGGGGATATATTAGGCCGCTCGACTAATTGGTTATTATTGGCCATGATATCGATTCAAGTAACCACCAATCGCTCCTAGACGCGCGCAGAGGGCGGTGAACGAGAACCTACAAAGGAAATTGGATAGGTTAAGTAAGACAAAGAATGTTTAAGTAATAGAAACTTACTGTATTCAAAACAGTATCGCTTTCCCTCGACTCTGAGCATCCTTTGCTCGCTCAGCTCTCTCGCTTCCTGCAGCTTTCACGTGTGTGTGACGTCCGCAATCGCAGTCTCTCTTTTTTGCTAAGTACAAGGTAGTACCAGCAAATTTATAGGACGTATGCCACCTTACAACTGAGCAGCATTTGCTGCTCTTACCGCTGCCTGTTTATCGGCGGTCTGCATGCGGTGAAATTTCTGTCCACCGTCGATGGCGACTAAATCTTGCGCCAATGACTATGGTCGTGGTGGGTATAAGATCAAGCCTACGAGTGATGCCTGGTCGTTCGATGCGTGTCTAAAGTGCGGTTGTTCGGGTTCATCATTAGTAAGTGCCACGCTTGGGATAAAGCGATTCGAGATGTGGCTGACGGGGTGAGCTGCACCTCCTGAAATGGGTGAGCAGAGCGCACTACCCTCAGTAACACGTAACAGACTAAGTCTCTATCCAACGGAGACTGGACTAGTGTTTTCGGCATGTTCTTTGTCATCACCTTAGCGCCTTATAAACCATTGATTCGGGTTGAGAGGCACTTGTGGGGTGTGCCCGCATTCGCAATATGATGTGATAGGGCTTCCGGGTACGCGATGAACTCGAAAACATTTACTTATAACAACAGTGTGGTATAGTAGTTAGCAAAATATATAGTCATTCAGCCTCGATGCACAAACACAACAAGCGCTGAGCCATGTCAGCGAAACGGTCTGTCACATTAGGATGAGTTCCTTCGCGGTTCGCCCCTTCAGGTTCAGTTGTGGATTTTGACGAAGTAATTTTCCGCAAAAATTAATTTTTCCAGAAGCCTGTCTGAGCTCAGTAGCTTCTAAACCTTTCACCTTCTGTGAATTCACATTAAAGGGTAAAGTCTACGCCTTACGCGTATTTACAGGTCACCGGGCGTAGTTTACGCCCGACTAGAAGATATACGGTGCCCTCCGCTGAGACCCGCTGTCACTTAAGAAAACAACTAAAAAAGGGTGCCTTATCCCGGGTCTCACCGGCTCGTCGTCGACAAGGCTCACACCGGCCCATGTATCGAGGTTTGCCGGCTCGTCGTCGACGAGACGCTTTCTTCTCTGGTAGCAAGCGATAACCAATCTGGGGCTGCCTAGAATCTTGGCGCTACAGTCAAAACCTCTACAAGATATGCCTCTCGAGGTTTGACGGCAGGCATGATCTAGCCCGCGCAGGGGCTTACCTTAAGTGGACGCTTGTCTTGGACCTATAAAATAGCGCACTATATTTATTCATCTCTTTTGCCACATCGCTGGGCCGTTTTAGGTGTCTTTCTGTCCTTCTACTAGTTCTTTATACAAACAAAATGATGAAAATGACGTCTGATCTTCCGGTTCTCTACACTTTTCCGCGACTTCTCCAACCTCCGATTCTCTGACCCCGAATTTGCCTTCCTCCAGTTCGCCGTCCTTTTAGATAGTTCACCTGTTTATAGATTTTGATGAAAATGTCTCTACATCACAACAGAGGCTGGACCAATGGAAAGGATACAACGGCAGAAAGCGTAGTAGCGGCGGTTCGGAGCAGTGCAAAACTCACCAGTACTTCTGAATGCACCCGTTTCGAAGCAAAGTCACCAAAATGCCACCAGATTGGCAAGTAAATCTGCGAAAACAATGGTCACATTGTTAAGGGGTCCAAGCGGTTATAAAATTTCTCTCAGCAGATGTAATCGGTCCTCTTTTCGGCAAATCTAGTCCATCCAGGTTGTACGTTAAGTATTGACACAGCGTAGCGCCAGCATTTTGTTCGCAGACCCGAGGGTTAATTCACGAACATTTCGCATGATCTCTCACGTCTATAGAGCCGATGTAGCTGCATCTCATGCGCTCCGGAGTTGAACAAAGTCGAGTGATCATGCATTGCGGAATTGATTAGATTTATGAGATGTGTAATGGGTATTGGAGTGTAGTGGTGTTATATCGACTCCAATAACGTGCGCTTAAAATCACATCATTTGCCTAGCAAGTCAAGGAATCAGGCAAATTCTGAAAATACATTTACAGGAGTGCCTTTAGATGCCGAATGAGTTGCTGCTGGCTGTAAATTGTGCGTCTAAAACCCCTGAGAGTATAGCTCTCACCGTTGCACATATAAAAAGTTGGATCTTAAAGTTGCCGGAAGTAACCAGTAGCGACATTCTGGACAGCGATGTGACGGTCCTTCGAGTCGGCAAGTTACTGCGTCAGTCGATCAATCAGTCGGTCACGCAATTCACGATACCAGCATTCATATAAGAACTGAATTGTAGGCCGCAGAAAGGCATTCATCTCGATTCTCAACCGTTTGAACCGCTGCATGATTTAAACGAGCTATCGACTTGTACAACCGAGTTAATTAGCTTCGTGGTCTTGAGAGTAGCATCTTCTAATATCTCAGACTCTTTTCTTAGTCGTTGTCAGGCGATAGCTTAAGTCAACTGACTCCTCTATGGTATCTTGAATGTGCCGACGAAGTGAAGCATTCTTGTAACGGGGCGGCCCGTTACATGGAAATTGCCATTGGAGAAATAATGACAATAAAGAATATTATGTTGAATATTCTTTTAACAATATCACCAATAGTGGTGATATTGATGGGTCGACCAAAGAGTCTGTTCATTGGTTGATATCTTATTGATATTAACCCACCGATCGCCGCAAGACGCGCGCAATGAGTGGTGACGAGACGTCACCATTCACTCAGTTAGATTAGTATAATTAAGTTAAGTCAAATTGAGAGACAGTAGTTAAAGACTTAATTATATTAATATAACAGTTCTACTTTTACCTTACCTACGCTTCCTCGTTTGCCTCGTGTACGTCTGTCGGGCGCACCAAAACCCTTGCGTTAAGTTCACGCAAGGGTGTGCCCGTTACTATTCTGGCAATGAATGTCGTACATAGACACCATATTCACAGGGAGTCATAGGGATGAGCGATATCAGCAGCTTATAGGGTAATTGAGTCAGCAAAAGTTCGAGTCCGAAGAATTGACTGTCACCAAGACGGACCGAAAAGAGGGCGAGACGAATACGACAAGTCGCGGTCACCTGATTCCCTCTATCTCGCTACATTGCATAAGCTTAACGAGACTATAGATAAGGCCGAAAGGTTCCGACTTTTCCGTAGACTCACGGGTGCAAAAGTAGAGAGGATGGGAGTCTTGGATGCTGTCGACCGGAACCACACCAAACCCAAAAGACTGGAATAATTCGTGTTGGATGACAAATAAAAAATACTGATTCGCCCTGAACTTGGCCAGTCAAGAGCGGTGGGATCGGCAAAGGTGATGATGTTGCAGCTCCATATCCAGTCTCATCGTGACAGACACAGTCAACGAATCAATGCGGACAATGACGAAGTTTGACCAACGATAAACGACGAATCGACATTTGCTAAGTATGGTCAATGGTCGACTGTCTAAATAACGAGAATATAGCGTCGATAAAGGTCGCAAGTCAGTAAGTGAGCAGGAAGAGATCACATCTGCATATCAGTGGTTTCTTCCATGATAAGGGTAAGTGGCTAGAATAAATGATTTAGATGAAGAGCGGCAAATGCGGAGATAAACGCTAATTAGTAGAGAAACTCGCCCGTTAGGATCGCATCACGACTGGCAATTGCGGTGTAGAATATGCTCAAGGGAGCGTATTCCACAGAATTTGACCGTCGGTAAACAAGTTTATCGGCGATTATAAAGTCGGCGAACTGTATGTCGGCGAACACGCGAAGATAGCGTAGAGTGCTGGACGATCGAATATTAAGTACATCAGGATTGATTTTGAGGAAACAGGAAAAGGACAGAAAGCCACCTAAAACGGACCAGCAATGTAGCAAAAGAGATAAACTAATGCAGTGCAGATCTATTTAGTTTCAATACACGCGTACACATACGGGTATGTCCCTTCGTGGGACAGATTGTACCTGGCATCGAACCTCAAGAGGCATCAGCTTGTAAAATATTAGACTGGTAGCGCCAAGAATAAAGTGGACTCGAGTGGCAACCACTACTAGTAAACGTTGAGTCTTGTCATTCGGCAAGCCGGCAATCAACAGACGGTACCGTTTGGGCCTTGTCAAGTGGCAAACTTTGGGTTCCAATTGATGGTATCGTGACGTCTCGTCAAGTGACGTGCCTGTGAGCTTAGTAGACGGACCCTTTCAATCTCTTCATTTGATAAGATGGTGGTTCTCAGCCGAGATCACCGTGCTTCTTACAGTCGAGCGCAAACTGCGTCTGGTGGAGACCAGTAAAGTGCGATCGAAGTCCATCTTTTGCTTGGTGCGAAGTCACAGAAAAGGTGCAACATAGAAGCTGCTGAGCTCAGTCGGGTTTCTGAAGGAATAAATTGCGATTTGTCAGATAGATGAGAGCCATAAGTGCGCGAGAAGGAGCAAGCTGAGAAGGGAAATCGTTCGATCCTGACGTAAAAGACGAACTTTCCCGACTTCCTCGGCGATATTATTGTGTTGGTGCGTTGGGACTGTATTATTACAATTTTGGAGATGTCCTGTACTATGACGAGCCTGTAACAAGACCATGGATATTGAGGAAGCACAAGATTCAGAATAATAGATTCAACAAAACCAAATAAAAATCTAAGCACGAAAAAGATGCGGGCACTGACTGTCTGAGAAAGGAGCGATGACAAAAAGCAAACACTTGACAGGAAGAAAGTCCCTAAAGTACTGCTTGACGGAGTAAGACAAAGGTGAGAGCATCGTTGAGTCATTTCAGGACGAGACCGCGTGAAGCTACCATTTCGCAAGAATTCTAGCGCGACGAGTCTCAAGCCTCGAGAGAAGGACATATGTTCATGAAGCAGTCGAGTTCATGTATACTCATTGTATAGGACGATCAGACTGCCACTGTCCAGACTATGTATGACCCATACGAGAATGACGGTTGTATTTAATCTGATCGAGCCGACGGCGTCGCGGAAGTGGTGTTATATACGTGAGAGCGATAATCCGATGGGCGCAGAGGGTGTTGCAAAAGTATAGCTGAAGTACGAGAACTACCACTCAACTAATGTTTTGAATACAATCCGTCACGATGATATCCGCGTTGACATCCAAAATATGTAAATGTCGTGAAACGCGCCCACCCCGTCCCACAGACTGTCACATTTGTTGATAGTGGCATCACCTCGTCACTATGTGAGGATGCTCTTGCAAACGTTGTCGCCGATAGAACCTCCAACCAGCTTCGAGTAGCTGTCATGGTATGAAAGCTCTGGATCAAATAATGCTTGGCGCTTCTTCTCGTAGATACGCAATCACACCCACTTTCGGCCGTGCTCCGATCATAAAATGCTACCGAAACGAGACACCGCGTTGACGGTGCGTGTCTGACAAAGCTTCGATTCCGTAAAGAGCGCTTTACCAGTACGTTACTACCACGATAGATGATCACGTAGCTGATGAGTCAGCCTGCATTCCAAGGGGTGAGGCGAACGACGAACGAACGGAGCCTGCAAGATGATACCATGGCTCTTACCCGATCAACTACACGCAGAAGGGTCCAGAAGCGACAAACATGCCAAGTCGTATGCGCAACACAAGCTTTTGTGCTAATGTAATCAATACCATAAGCTTCGTAGAAGTCGCGTCACAAAAGTGCGTGCGGCGACTTTCCGATGCTTTTCGTGTCGACCCGCCAGAACCTCCGACACCATCGAAAGCTAAGAAACGATCACGTGGTGTCCTTCGTACAAAAGTGACTGCGATGTTGTCGTATCATATGAGCTCATGCTTCTTGTGTGTGTCGACCGAACAGAGGGCTCTTCTATTCGTTATTTTTGCACCCACGCAAACGAATGCCGTTCGACGTGGGTGCTGAGTCATCGGGTCGACTCAGCCAGTACCTGATCAACGTGCTGCTCCACTTGCATTCCCCTTGGCCGATATCGTGGAGATTGTTCCTCAATCTTTTGCTTACTCGATGTGTCTCTGTGCAGATAGAATGCCTCGACGTTTTCGTCGCAATTTCCACGATGCATCAGCCCAACTGCTGGTTCGGCACACTTTTCCATCGCAGCCGCTCCAGTCACGATGCTCGGCATTGTTCACGGCAAGTGTTTCTGGCAAAGCCAAGTGGTCGCTATACACACTGCGACGTCGTTCGCAGCGACAACGAGGTCTTCCACTGCGTTGAAAAAGATCACAAACAAACGTCGAGTGAGCTCGACGACTGCCGAAGCTGAGACGCGCCTCCATAAAAATGTTGCCAGCCACGCCATGGTACGTCAACGAAGACGCGGCCGTTAGCTCGAACGAAGTGGCCGACTGATCGGTTGTGTGCTTTACCGAACTGTCATGACAGTCTGGCTTTGCTGCCATGCGGACACCCCTCGTCAACAAAGGACAAGCTTTCACCGAGGAGGAACGCGCGGCATTCCGACTCCGCGGACTCTTACCTGACGCAGTCAATTCAATGGAGCTCGAGACGGAGCGCGCGATGAAGCAACTGCGATGCAAGAGCACCGCTCTGGAAAAGTACATATATCTGCAGAACACGCAGGAGATCAATGAGCAAGTGTACCACCGCATGCTCATGGAGAACCTTGTCGAGCTCTTGCCGATAGTGTACACGCCGACAGTCGGTCAAGCTTGCCAGGAGTTTAGTCGCATTTATCGCCCCACGCCTCGAGGGGTGTACATCTCGATGAACGACATTGGCCATGTCGCTGAGATCCTGGACAATTGGCCGGAGAAGGACATCCGAGCTATTTGCTTTACAGACGGCGAGCGGGTCCTCGGACTGGGTGATCAGGGTGTCAATGGCATGGGCATTCCGATTGGAAAGCTCGCGCTGTACACAGCGTGCGCCGGTGTACCGCCTCACATGTGCCTCCCAGTTGTGCTTGACTGCGGCACGAACAACGAAGAGCACTTAGCTGACCCTTTCTACATTGGTCTGCGTCAGAAGCGCGTGCGGGGTAAGAAGTTCGAGCAGCTTGTCGAGGAGTTTATGAACGCGGCAAAGGCCAAGTACGGAGACAAAGTGCTGCTGCAGTTCGAAGACTTTGGCAACTCCACAGCGTTCCCGTTGCTGCGGAAGTACCAGCACACGCACTGCACGTTCAACGACGACATCCAGGGCACTGCCTCTGTAGTGCTGGCCGGACTGCTCGCCGCTGTCCCGCTCACGGGCAAGTCGATCTCGGAGCAAAACGTCGTTTTTCTCGGTGCTGGGACTGCTGGCACAGGTATCGCCGACTTGATCTCGTTGGCCATCTCTCGTGAGACTGGCAAGACAATGGAAGAGTCGCGCAAGCAGATTTGGCTCGTGGACTCTCGTGGCCTTGTTGTAGAGTCCCGAGTTGGGCCTCTCGAGTCGCACAAACTGCCGTACGCGCACGATGCACCAGTGTCCGAACCTCCTCGAGGCTCTTGAGCGTATCAAGCCCACAGCACTTATCGGCGTGTGTACCATTGCCAAGGCCTTTGACGAAGACGTGTGCCGGAAGATGTGCTAGATCAACAAGCGTCCGGTCATCTTTGCGCTGAGCAACCCCACGTCCAAGTCTGAGTGCACAGCAGAGGAGGCCTACACGTTTACGGACGGCAAGTGCGTATTCGCCAGCGGCAGCCCATTTGACCCCGTGAACATCAATGGCAAGCTGTGCGTTCCCGGACAGGGCAACAATGCCTATGTTTTCCCTGGTCTTGGACTGGGCGTGGTTGCTGCCGGTTTGACTCACGTGGACGATGAAGTCATGATCATCGCGGCTGAAACACTCGCTAGTCTGGTCACGTCCTCGGACCTGGAGACTGGCTGCGTCTACCCACCGCTGTCTCGCATCCGGGAAGTGTCGCTCAAGATTGCGGAGGCTACTGCCGAATATGTACGTGCGTCCTACTTGTTGTATCGGTCTGTACGACAAGATCTGACAACATGGTGTCCTGCTTGTTGATGTAGGGTTTCAAGCGAGGTCTCGCCACCGTGTCGAAGCCTGACGACATAGTGCAATACTTGCGGGACTTTACGTACAAACCCTAGTGACAACTTGTCGCGCGCTAGTCGTGCTGGATGCAGCTTATCGTGTAGTCGTTAGTGGTGGAAACGACAGGACGACTGGCCTGGCCCAAAGTACACGTACGATAGCTGATCCCGAGCCACGCACGAATATCTATGAACGCTCGAGTTGGATCGCGCTACTTTTCCCCCATCTTATCACTGTTCGTTCTATCCTGCGTCGTGACTTCCGTGTGACTCACTCACTCAGTGCGTCCTGAGCTTTCTTGTTGCGTCATAACACGAATGCGAGGCGAGGCGCTGTTGCGATACACTGGTAACGTTAGGGACATGTTCCTCGACCACTGTGTGCGAAAAGCTCACGTCACATGAACTTCGGCGAGTGCATTTCTGGGGCTCTACTTGCGATGTCTCACATTAGTTCCATGCTCGTCTGCATCCATCCAGAAGTGGTGCCGGCCAAGACTATCGGATGAGAGAGATGTGCGATATAACGTCATCTACAACGGAGCATGAACATGGTACGAGAGTTTAATTGTCTTCGGACTTGGTTTCGATCAATACAGTCCGTTCTCTGGCTTCTTCGCGAGCTTTGTAAGTTTCTGTATCAATGAAAGTACCTGACGTCAGCTGACAACTGGAGCTGCACCAACGTATGGTCAATCACACATGTGTGTGTGTGGACAGACCTCTCGATGCTGATGGGTCTACCTGGTTTCTCGATTGTTTCCAGCACTTGGGCATCTCGCCAGTTGTTCCGAAACAAGTCAGTACGGCTGACAGTCTCAGTCTCCGTGTCTAGCTCGGCCCTTGTCAGACTTTCCACACACGGCCAAGTTCGCACTTTGCTACGCTTGTCACCACGCAACACACTCATGCCCGTGGCTTTGTTATCGACCATCTGATGTGTGGCCATCGCTACAAGAGAGTGCTCGAGGTCATGATGTATCGTCTTGGTGATGCAACATTTGATGGTTTCTTTCTTACCTGTCGGTCAATGTCGGCGCTTTACACGATCTCGCCCATCGTCTGCTCCTTTGTCAATAGTAGCTCAAAGCAGTCGTTGATAGACTACCAACGCTCCAGCCAAAGCGAATACACTGCTAGCCACAAAACAGCACAAAGAGTACAGGGGTAGCGCTAGAGCGGAGTGGATTCTTCCACACGATGGCATGAGTCTTCTCCCGCTGTGTAGACTTCAAGCAAAACTAATGGCGACCTCACCGTTACCTCATCGCCAGTCACCGGTGCTACTGGCACTAGACACGACTCACAGCACACTGCAGCTCTCTATTCGTGCCCGGTACAACAAGTGCCATCACAACAAGCTCCAGGTAGCATGGCCCGACGTTGTAGTGACCGCGGCCACTGCAAGCTGCGCGAAAGATTGTACCGGTCTTCCAGATTGAGCTGCTTTCTCCAGCAGTACGTCGTTTACCTTGACGGGTAACGAACGTCTCTCACTCGCTACAGAGTCGATATATCTTCACCAGTTTCAATCTAGAGCAAGGTAAACTGTAGCACAGCACGTCAAAGATGCCACCATGAGTTTGTCCGTCGTCATTGTTCAGCCAGACATACGTGCGGCAAAAGCCGCGTCGTAGTGGCAACGTGCAACTCAGAAGCTGTTGGTCGTGGTAACATCGTGGACTACCACGGCCTCGTTCAATACGAGTATGGGCCAGTAATTCGAGCTCTGGATATGCGGTACCACGCGACTTGACGTTGGCCGCTCCTCTTCTTCCGACCACACATGCGACTGGCCGACTATCGAGGCGATGGTGAGCGTTTCGTCCGAAAAGAAGGCGTGCGACTAGCCATCACATCGTCAAACTGTCTTGATGTCGTCTTCTGCGACGATAACGCAAACGTTTTGCACTGCTTTGAACAGCTTTTCGAAAGTGTCCGCTCGCTCAAAGCCATGTACACTTTTACAAGTCGTACCGGCAGTGGTACACGCAGAATCGTCAACCACACAACAGGGGACGAAACCGAAACATCTGGCGCGTCTCATCGCGCCCGTTCTGTTTGTAGGTCGTCCTAGACACCATCGCATTCAAGGTCCGTTCCTTGAAACGACCATCCGTGCGTCCATCTGTCAACATCTGAGATGCAGTTGTAGCTTACGGGTGTCATATAGACGACACTGCAGCAAACGCTCAGCTCCACAAAAGACTGTCGAGCACCGAAAGTTGCTGCATGTGAATCCTGCACTTTGGACCTGTAGCCCCAGATGATTGGCAACACATGCGGTTGCACTCGTATGAGATAAAAGACTGCGCATGTGCGGCAACTTTTCCTGAATGGCAGCGAGCAGTGGCAAATCTGGTAACATATCAGATTACTTCCTCTGTGAGCCTTCGTCAACGATGCAGCAACGGAAAAACAGGATGCATCGGCGAAGAGCATGGGAAAGCTGAAGGTAAGCGCAGCTTATCCACGGCCGTATCACATGTCTGACTGCATCTTTCATGATTCTTCATGAGGCTCTTGGTCACGTCCAACGTGGCCGTTGCTTTGCTCGAATCAAGTACATGCAAAGACATGGTACTGCTCTAGCAGTGCTACTGAACATAGCGTTATTACCAGCGCTACTTTACGGCAACAAGCGCAGTCTTGGAAGCAACAGCCCCTGTCGTCGTCTTACGTTGCCGTGCAACTTCAGCCAGCCGCGCGTCCATGACCCTCACCCGACCACGCGTTGCTCTTTCCTTGACCATCATCACCTTGTGCAATCTATAAGCAGCTTCGAGAAAACAGAAGGCGGGGCGGGCGTCGGAAGCAGTACCTGACTGGAAAAGACCGACAACACAAGCGACTCGCATGGTTACATCAGTCGTGCACCAAGTGAGTCCGGCGCTTGTTTCGTCGGTGCTCAACCGACCCGCGACATTGTAGTGCCTCTGCTTTTGCCCACAGACCGACGCACTACGTCGTGTTTTGTAACAAAGCGTCGGGCATAGTCAAACCAAGTCCACCACACACACCCTCCCTCCCTCCCAATCCTCAGTGCCCCGTCGTCAGCTATGCATAGCGCCAAAACGACAAGAAAATAAAAACTGACGAAAGAAGCAAAACAACGCAAAACAACGCAAAGCAAACCACAGCTACAACCGCAGCTCCGACCGCCGCCACCTACAAACCCGACCGCGAACCTACAAAACGAGCCCACCCCACCCCGCGCCACCCCACACAAGCAAACGATTCAGCTTCGTCAGTGGGCAAACCAGAGCTCGAGACGACGGACGGCCCATCATCCCACACGCACTCCCGCACCCGCTCGCTCGCTCTCGCTCTCGTCCCTCCCATGGACGCGGCCGCGCTAGCGCTCCCGGCACAGGGACGCGACCTGCTCCTCCACGCGCTCGCCACGAGCTCCGCGACGACCACTGCAGCCAGTACCAGTGTCAGTCTTGCGACCCCCACGACGACGACGACGACCGCCGCGACGGGCAGAGCTGCTGCGCCCACGCCGTCAGGTCGCGGCCTCACGCCCTACGCGTCGTCCAACATGGACGACATGCTCATGGACTCGTCGTCGGCCTCGACCTCTGCCGTCCCGACGCACGAGGTGCACTGGGAGGGCTACGTGCGCAAGAAGGGGGACTGGCTGCCGCGCTGGGAGGAGCGCTACCTGATCCTCGACGGCCCGACGCTCACGTACTACAACTCGAAGGAGGACGCGCGCAGTGCGCGGAACCTGCGCGGCCGGATGCTCGTGCTGCGGGTCCGGCCCGAGAACTACGGCAAAGCCCACGGCTTCTTCCTCGAGACGCAGAGCCACAAGCACTTTCACCTGTGCTGCTCGTCGGCGCTCGAGAAGGACATGTGGCTCGAGATGATGCAAGCGGCGATCGACGAGGGCGGGAAACACGGCAGCGGCGGCGGCAGCAGAACGCCGTCGATCGAGGGCCTCGAGGCGCTGCAGATGCAGACGAGCCCCACGCAAGTGGACCTGCGCGGCTTTTACTTTGCGTTCCGCCAGCTGCTCATCTCGCACGCGTCGTCGCCGCAGTTTTTCCCAAAGCTGTCGCGGGACGTGGTGCTCACGTCAAACTACGCGCCGACAGTGCCGTTCTGGGGCGAGTACCACGGACTCGACGGCGTGCTGCACTTTTTTTCCATCTTGTACGAGACGGTGGAGGTCACGGCGTTCTTTGTGACGGACATTGCGCAGGCAAAAGAAGGCTGCACGGCGGTGGTGGCGGGTCGAGAGACCATGAAGAACCGGGACAATGGACGCAAGTTCACGCAGCAGTGGCAGCACACGATCGAGTTTGCACCGGACGGACGGGTCAAGAGTCTGACGATCTCGGCGGACCCGATTGCTGCCTCGGCGGTCTTTGGCTGCAATGCTACGTCCAGTCTGTCGCTGCCCATGGCTGCCGTTGTGGGCAACACAGTGCACGACAACCCCGCGGGACGGCTTCATGTCGTTGTGTTTCGTGGCGAGCAGATTTCGGATCAGGGGTTCATCGATGAGGACGAGCAGACGGATGGACCGGAGGCTGACGACGAGCAGCGGACGTCGAGCCGTCGGATCTTCTTGGGACTGCGCTTGGTGACAGATGGCAAGACGAACGTCTATGCACCGACGTCGTCGGCAAACTGCGTGGCGCGGACACGCACGTGCGACCCAGTTGAAGCACGCGATCCAAAGTGGAATTCGAAGCACGAGATTCCGTTTGCCGGCTCGTCTCGGGGGAAGCCGTGCTTTATTCTGATTGAAGCGTGGGAAGTGATGGACGGCGATGGAACTGTCGAGGCCTTGGAGCGTGTCATTGGCGTCGCCAAGGTCAATCTTGCGCCGTTCCTGGCACTGGCCAGTACTTCGCGAACGGTTCGCGAGAGTGTGATTCACACGGACATTGCTCGTGGCGCTGTGCCACAGTGGTATACGTTGTTGTCCGCGAACGAGGCAAAGTTCACTTGTGGGCGTGTCCAGCTCAGCATCAGCTTTGAGGCCTCGATGTCCTCATTTGCTGCAATGTCTCGCTCGAATCTCGCAAGTTCAATGCGGAGCGGTATGGATGCGAATTCGCCTGGTTTGGATTCGAATGCGCCAACGCCGCAGGTTCGTCCGCCAGGGTCAGCAGTGCAGTCGATGAGCCACCGCGTTGCGCTGGCCCGTGGTTGCTCTTTCCGCGACACGAAGCGGGACAATCACCAGTTCCGGGTGGGAAACACAAACTTTGATGTTCCGAAGCGCTACCAGATGATCAAGGCTGTAGGCCAAGGCGCTTATGGCTGTGTGATTGCTGCTAGTGACACGGAGACAGGCCAAGCACTTGCCATCAAGAACATTCCGAACGCGTTCAACGACCTCATTGACGCGAAACGCATCCTCCGTGAAATCCGCCTCATGCGCCACTTGAACCACCCGAACTTGGTAAATTTGCTTGACCTGCTTCGCCCACCGACTCTGCAAGAGTTCAATGACGTTTACATTGTGACAGATCTTATGGAAACCGATCTGCACCGCGTCATTCATTCGAACCAATCGATTAGCGACGATCATGTGCAGTACTTTTTGTACCAGATGCTGGTTGCTATCAACTACGTGCACTCTGCTGAGGTGCTGCACCGTGATTTGAAGCCATCCAATATCCTGGTGAACTCGGACTGCGACTTGAAGCTGTGCGACTTTGGCCTTGCTCGCGGCATTCAGGGTATGGACTCTGGTCTTACAGAGTACGTCGTGACCCGGTGGTACCGCGCCCCCGAGCTGCTGCTGTCGTCGAAGTATGATAAACAAATGGACGTGTGGGCCATTGGATGCATTTTGGCAGAAATGCTTGGACGGCGGCCGCTTTTTCCTGGCCATGACTATTTGCACCAGCTGAAGATTATCATGGACGTTGTTGGCTCACCGTCCGAAGACTCGCTCGATTTCATTACCAACCCCAAAGCGAAGCGATTCATCTTGCGTCAGCCGAAGAAACCGAAGGTGTCACTATCGTCCGTATATCCGCGTGCCACACCACATTGCCTGGATCTGCTCGAGAAGATGCTGATATTTGATCCACGAAAACGCATTACGATCCAGGATGCCCTCGCGCATCCGTACTTGAGTTTGGTGCGCGATCGATCTGTGGAGAAGACATGCCCATCGCCATTTGACTTTGCATTTGAGAATTCCGACTTGACGAAGCAGAAGCTGCAGGAACTTATTTTCGAGGATGTATGCGCGTTCCACCCAGATGCTCGCATCAACGATCCAGTTGTACCAACTGCTGCCTCTACTGCGAGCAATGCTTCAAGTCGATCCCATGGCCACGCCCGAGCTGGTTCAATGTCGGATTCGAGTTCCAGGAGACCAAACATGTCGGCTACGGTATCCGCCTCTGCTCCAGCTGTCGCTCTGTTGGGGTTCGTACCTCCCGCTCCAGTTCCTTTTGTGGACCTACCGGGCCTACCCACGGAGCGGTCGTCAGTCCAAGCGCGATCGTCGTCGATCGTATCACTGGACGGCAATGCAGCGCGTGTTCATGAATCGCGCGCTTCCGAGACTCCTTTAGAGTCTCCGACAACACCACAACTGTCGACGCCAGGTGCAGCGAGTGCACTAGCGTCGTCGCCTGCAATTGTGCCGCCGATGCCAAGCGAAGCTATGGACTACGAATCAAAAGTGGCATCTGGGCACGAACGAAGTGCTCCAACCGAAATTGCCATCGAGATTATGCAGACACCTGCTCATACTGCCGAACGGTCGACCGAAGACGGAGCGGCAGAAGCAGCCGAAGCGTCGTTGGATGACATTGGAAGCACCGTTATTCACAATGTATCATTAACAGACTCCGCGGCCACGCGGGACATCAGCGCCACCGCTGACCACGACGCAATGGACAGCACACGCACCAGCAGTAGCGGCAGCGATGGCGAAGATGTGCTCGCAAGGGCGCACGAGTGTGACGGCGAAAGTGATTTGTCAACGTCGCCGAAAAGGCAGGCGCTGCAGCAGGCCAAGTCTCTCCTCACGCCGTCGTCAGTGGTGTGACTGTAAGCTAAAAATGACGAAACGTGCGCCGTGGTGCTGACCCGAGCGTTCCGTTCAGGGTGGCAATGGCTCGAAGCGCATGCAGTGCACGGCAGAAGCGCGAACTGGAGAGCGCGCGTAACCCGTCGCGCGCACTTCGCACATGCACTTCCCGCCCATGTACCCGACAGTGCCGACCCGTGTGCTGAGCACACACGTGCAGCAAAAGTGGTAAGAAACTTGCGTAGGAGTCGGAGGAGCGTGGCGTACAGACAGAAGGGAATAAAATGAACTGAATGCGTTAGTGTCCACTGCTCGGATCTGCTCGCGCAGCGCTCATCTTTGCTGCCACTATCAGGAGCAGAGTCGCATCGCGAGACTCAAAGCTGTAGCCGCATACGACGTCCGTCAGCGCCACGACCTCCGCGCAGCACAAGCACGAGGCAAATGGGGAGCTACGACGTGCCGGCCGTGTGTCTATTCCGACCAACTGGTGACACAGCGGCCGTCCTACGCGTGCGGATTGCGCAGCACGAGGATCACCGAGTCGCCGCGCAGGAACATTTTGCTGACAAAGCGGTCCTTGTTCACGGGTTTGGCCGCCTTCTTGCCCTTGCCCGCCTTGGGCACTTCGGTCCACATTTCCTTGACGTTCTCGAGCACCATGTTGCAGTGGCGGTCGAAGGCCTTGACCCGTGCGAGCAGCTTGTGGTTGTTGCGCACGTTAATGAGCACCTGCGAGTTGTTCTTGACGCTGTGCATGAGCACAGACAGCGGTCCCTTTTGGAACTCCTCTTCGTCCTCCTGCACGCGCTTGAACTCGCTCTCGCCAGTGCTGCAGCGACAAACACAAACACACACACACACACACACACATGAGAATGGTGAGACACCACAGTGCGTCGTTAGTGGTGTTAGTTTGCGACGTCTCTGCGCGCGCAGCATCGAGCGCTCGGGACGACGTACCTGTGACTGGCCATGACGGTCCGTGCGTGTCTGCCGCCGGCTGAGGTTTTCGATCGAGAGAGGGAGCGTTTGTATCGTACTTAGACGATGAAACGCCGACCGACCATCGAGTGGGGTGCGCGACACCACTTGTCGAACAGAGTGGCAGCGACATTAGAAACGGGCGAGAGACCAACGAAAAGATTATTTATTTGAAAACGAGTGGCTCTACCGAGTGAACGACACGAATGCAAGCGCTATCTGACTGTCTACCTGTCTGCCCAACTCGTCTCCTCGTGGGCAAACAGCGCCCGTGTCTCGCATGCAACTACCAGTCTGATCGCTTTCTCGGACCGTCGTCGGGCGGTCGGTCGGTCGGTCCAGTCGACCACCTAGTCGAGGTCCATCTTTTCCGCCGCCTCCTTCTCTTCTGCTGGCGCAGCCTGTTCGCTAGCGTCGGGAGCAGCCGGCGTCTCCACCTTGGGCAGCGGCTTGGGCTTGGTCGTGATTGGAAGAGCCACTGCGCGCACGGCTACGATCTTGCTGCGAATCGAAGCCGACGTGAGCACGGGAGCATCGGTCGGGTTCAGGTCCGCCTGCTTCGCGAGGCCGTCAAACAGCCACGTTTCAGCGTCCACGCACGTCTGGCGGAGCTTTGTCTTCTCGTCCTCAGACCAGTGCGAGTACGCGTCGTCACCCGAGTTCACCATGCGCTTGTACTCCTCCAGCACAGACGTCAGCTCAGCCTGAGCAACGCCACGCTCGGTGCTCTCCGTCTGACGGAACTCCACGGGCGAAGACAGCTTGCGCATGTCGTCCAGCTTCTGCTGGTACACCGACTTGGTGCTGTCAAAGCCTTCGTCCGTGTACAGCCATTCTTCGGTAGTCATCAGCTTTGTCTCGAGATCGTTCTTCTCGGCGGTAGTGATGAACGCAGACAGCTTGTCCGTGATCTGGTTACGCATCTCGTACACGAAACTTTCGAGCTCGTTGCGCTTGTTGAACGTATCTTCAATCACACGGTCCTGCTGCGCCATCCGCAGCTCCTGCTCAGTGGCAGAGGATACATCCGAAGTCGAAAGACCGCCAACCTGCGACTGCACCGTGAGCTCAATCTTGCGGAAGCGTTTCTTTTTTGGCCCAGCCGCCTTGTCCTCCTTCTTGTCCTCTTTCTTGTCCTCCTTCTTGTCGTCCTTCTTGTCGTCCTTCTCCTTCTTGTTTCCATCGTCTTTCTTCTCATCCATCTTTTCGTCACTGTCCGCCTCCGCAGGTTTCTCCTCCTCCTTAATTTCTTGCATGAGCTGCGAAGACGCCACCGAAAACATACCGTTCATGTCCTGCTGCACGTTCACACGGATCTTCGGGACCTCGGCTCCCGCTTCCTGTGTCGGCATACCCTGAATCGTGTACTTGCCGATGTCCATCTCATACTCAGCTAGCAGGTACGCCTTAGCAGACTCGTCGTACGCAGCATCGATCGTGAACGCCTTGTCGCGGCGGAACGTGATGCGCTTGGTCTTCGGGTACTCGTCCTTGCGATCAAAGATCACCAGCGCGCTGTCGTCCGCAGCAGGAGCCTCCATGTTGGCATCCTCGTCGTCGTCCGCGATGTCCGCAGCCGCCGAGGCGCTACCGTCCCACGACACACGCACGGGCAGGTGCACGCGGTCCGTCACGCTGAACGGCTTCACCTTGAACATGGGCGACAGGATCGCGCAGTTCAGCGCACAGCCGCGCGCGACCGACTCGTCGGCATTCAGCGTCGTGCTCAGCCCGTAGTTCTGCTGCTCCTTGTCCAGGCCCAAGACCTCGGCCAGGTGGCGCTTGACGCTCGTCACGCGCGTGCCGCCGCCCACAATCTCCACGTGCGTGAGCTCCGACTTTTGCATGCCGGCGTCGGCCAGCGCCTGTTCGACCGGTCCGTTCAGCCGCTCGAGCAGCGGCGCAATGAGCGCTTCAAACTCCTCGAGCGTCACTTGGGCGTTGTAGTCGCGGTCGTCGGCGAGGCACTCAATGTTGAGCTGCGTGGCCGACACGCCGTAGGGGCTGAGGTTTTTCTTGGCCTTCTCGCAGGCCGACAGCAGCTTCATGCGCGCCTTGGGGTTCTCAAGCGGGTTCGCGACTTTGTACTTGTCGGCAAACTTCGCTGCGGCGTCTGTGGCAATGGCCAAGTCAAAGTCGCGTCCCCCGAGCGAGCGGTCGTAGGCGACCGACTTGACCGAGAGGCGGCCCTGGACGAACGCCACGATGGCGACCGTGTAGCTCGCGTGGCCCACGTCGATAAACATGACGTGCTGCGGGTCCGTCTCGTGGAAGAGGTTGCGCGCCGACTTGTAGATGCCGTAGGCGAGCGCTACGGCCGTGTGCTCGTTCATGAGGCGGAGGCAGTTGAGGCCCGCGATTTGCGCGGCCTGGAGCAGCGCGCGGCGCTGGCCGTCCGTGTAGTAGCCGGGGCACGAGAGCACGCAGTAGGCGGGCGTGACGCCCTCGTTGGCGGCTGCGGCAATGTGCTGCATCTTGTTGAGGATCATGGCGACCACCTGCTCGCACGAGAACGTCACGGGCTCGTCGTTGTACGCGAGCACAATGCCCACGTCGCCGCTTGCGAGCTCAACGCAGGGGAACGCGAGCTGCGCGAGCTCCTGCTGCACTTCGGGGTGCTTGAACTTGCGGCCCAGCAGGCGCTTGACGTCCGTGGCCGTGTTCTTGTAGTGCATGCGCGCCATGCTGACCGCTGCTTCGCCAATGAAGCGCTGCTTGCCCTGCACGCACACGAGGTTGGGGTTCTTGCGGTTCGAGTTCTCGTTCAGGATGATGTCAATGCCGCCGCGTTTCGCTTGGCCGATCACGCAGTCGACGTTGCCAAAGTCCACTCCGATGACTGACATGGTGAGTGCAAAAGGGGAAAGAGCGACAGAGGGACAGAGGGACAGAGAGAAAGAGGGACAGAGGGAGACAACGCAACACACACGCGGGTGGGAAGCGCAAGGGTTCAAACGAACGTGCGGCGAGAGAGAGCGAGCACAAGTGCGTGTGGGGGGGCGGCGGGTCGAATCAAAAGTGGGCTGGGAAGGGACTGACTGGATCCGAGTGGATGGGGTGGGGCGGCTGACGTGGTGGTTCTGGAATGTATCCAACCGACGACGAGCCGACTGCGGGTTTGCATGGACTGCAGCACTGCATACCGACATACAGGACGCGGGCGCGGTGGTGACCACGCTGCGGGTTCGCGTGCACTGTGAGAGTTTATACTCTCGAACGCCGCCGGCTCGTGGGGGACGTTCGACTCGCAGCCACTCAATCTCCCGACGCCGTAAACAACGCGCGCGTCTCACGGAAGACGTCAGGTCGCTGGCTTTGCTCGTCGGTGCGCTGCTCGTGACGACACATATGGGTGTTGTCGTGTCGGTAGCAACACTTGGTATCGTCTGTGCGTGGGGCGGTCGCTGCTCTCGGACGCACAGTGTGTCGTATGCGCTGTGATTGCGTGTCGAGAAGGTTCTCGAAGAACAGTCTGCTTCCGCCTGTATTGTTCATTCGACCGTGACGTCACGCAATTGGCGCACTGTATCGCTCACGCGTGAAAAGAGCATTACTGCTGCTCTATTTATCCAGAGGGAACCCATAACATGGGCGTTACCACCTCGCGACAGTTAGCGCACTCTATACATAACGCGTCGGTCGAGATGCACCTGTTCTCTTACGGCGGTCCGCTGGCCCAAGAACGGCGCACAAGACGACAGGTTCCGTACCGTACAGTTGTAGCTGCCGCGCTCGGTCCTGAAGAAATGAATGAATGCGTTCGCACCTTCCGACATATGTGACGCTGTTCGTGTACTTGTGCGTATATTATAATACCGGTAGCACTACGCTCTCACGACGCAATCGCTACGGGAATATCAGCGGCAACGATATGCGAGCTAGTGACGAGCACACATGGCACGTGAGGTGACCAGGCTGCACTTGTCAGTCGTACTGCCGTTTGTGCGAGAGAGCGCTCGCATAGCCTCGTTGCAAACACCTTTCATTTAGGGACGTCTTGCGGGATACGTTGTGTCATCGATATGTCCTACAGATTTAATGTGCTGTTCACAGCTCGATTGAGTTTCTCGTGGCACTGTTTGCTGAGTGTTTCTTCATACTGAATTCCACTGTATCGATACCGCTCGGATTCCTCTCTGCCACCAGTCGGCCATTGTGATCGCCTTCCATACCAAGCGCACTGGCTGTCGTCGACCATGGACAGGTCAGAGTGTAGACCAAAACGGTACTAACACGTGCATGCTGTGTGCCCCTGTGATCGCACGACAGTTCAACTTTTACACTGCAGTAAACTTTCGAGACTTTCAGACAGGCAACTTGCCCTTGTCGAAGCTAATGCTGTGCTTCCCACCCACATCTGCAGCTGACGGAGGTTTACAGTGCGCGGAGAACGCGGCTGGCAGACGCATGTATGTTCTTAAGACGCCTTGATCGTGCCGTGTAAGTGCACCACTTATCGTCGTACATGTGCTATCCTTCGCGCTATTGCGCACGTGCGACGTGGTAAGTTGTGAGTAGCTCGACCCGTTGCAGCGAAACAGCAGCAACAACCACATCGATGATGGACACGCTGATACAAAACATACTTTCCGACTGTTTGCAAGCAACTTGATCAGGTGGTGCGCCCTGCCTGCACCTCGACTTGTAAGCAGCAACATTGCAAGTCACGGGGTCTTTGCTTTACAATTTGCGAGCGTGCTATTGCGGGTGGGCCCGCCTTCGTTGTGTCCATCTGCCGTTGCAGTAGCTCCATATATTCTCGAAACGGCATGATCAATGGACGACAAATTTTGACAAATGGCGCAAGTAGGTCATCCAACAGCGATTGACGTGCAAACAAATTCCAACATGTTTGCGTCGATGAAGCGTTCCCTCAACGCGAGCATTTGACTACGTCGCATCTCTGTTTATTCTACACAATTTATGAGGAAAGTCAACAAAAAACAGCAATCACCGACCGCTACAGGACGACAGGGGGACTACATCAACGCACCATACACCTCCGGCGTTGTGCATGTTCGTGTTGAAAGAGCGCGACTGGTTGAAAAGTGCGACTGGTTGAAGGAGCGCAGCTGGTGATGTAACGGGGCAGCCCGTTACATGAAATTGTCACTTTAAGGAAAGTGACAATAAAGAATATAAAGATGGATATTCTTTAAACAATATCACCAAAGTGGTGATATTGAAGGGTCGACCAAAGGGTCTGTTCATTGGTTGATATCGTGATGATATCAACCCACCAATCGCCGCAAGACGCGCGCAATGAGTGGTGACGAGACGTCACCATACATCCAGTTATATTAGTATAGTTAAACTAAGTCAAACGAAGAGACAGTAGTTTAAAGACTTAATTATATTAATATAACAGTTCTACTTTTACCCTACCTACGCTTCCTCGCTTGCCACGTGTACGTCCGTCGGGGCACCCAAAACCCTTGCGTTAAGTTACGCAAGGGTGTGCCCCGTTACAGGTGAGGTGAGAAGCGCGACCCTAGGAACGGGTGGAACATCTTATATGTTTACATGAGTGATCGATGGTATCGGACAAAAACAAGGTAACTGAAGATCACAAGCTCGAAACAAATTTATGTTCTCGTTTTCCTACCACTGACACAGTGCCAGCGACCATAAGGCTATGAGCTTAAACCCACTGAAAGCCCCTCCTGCATCTCCGCTAGGTGCTCGGCCCGAATGAGGTCGATGAGACGACAAGCGACAGCGCCGACATCTCTCAAGCGAGAGAACGAGGGGTGTATGGTGAGCCCGTTACATAAAAATCGATATTTTCGTATCAATTTTGAACATTATCTGTTTGGATAATTATCGATTGACATTACTCGTAAGGAGTAAGGTTGACGGAATATTACCCCCGAGGGTAACATTTCTTTGGGTTGCTCCACATGATGGTTAATGCTGACGGTACATCAACCAGATTAACCACCAGTCGCTGCTGGACGCGCGCGATGGATGGTGAGCAAGAAACCCACATAAAGGTTGTAGTTTAATATAGTTAGCTCAAGACAAAGATGATACATTAAGAAACATAACTAATTTCGATACAGTTCTACTCTTTCCTTTAGACAGAGCTTTCGAGTTATGCCTACGTCGCTGCGCTCCCTCCCATCACGTGTACGTGACGTCGCGTGCACACAACCTTGTGTTGAATTGACACACGGCGTGCCACGTTACAAGGGGCATCTGAGCATGGTTCAGATCGTCTAGATAGACTTGATGAACTCATGGGGTATCTGGTGCGCGACTTGGCGCGACAACGCGTGGAGCGGGCCCAGCTGTTTCCTGCGGACCTGAGTGAGGAGTGGCTCAAGTGCTTTAGCCACTACATGGCCGCTGATCGGAGCAGGAACAGTTCCGACTCGCTTACTACAGCTATAGGCTGCAAGTGACGCCTAGATTGCCGCAGCTCGAAGCGCAACACCGACAGCAAATATTACCTAAAATCCAGTCTAAGGCGCAGGCTTACGCGCAGTCGAGGCGGCACTTCCACCCGCCACAAGACTTTGGAGTCGAGATGCCCAACGTCAAGGATATGAAGGTGCCTATCGAGCGCTTCACTAGAAAGGAAGGATGCAAGGGCTTGAAAAGATTAAAGGACTACGGATTGGAGTTCTTGGAGGAGTTTGGACGAACTTGGCGCGGCTAAACGCTTCAGTGATGGTGAAAGGACTGATGAGTGTAAGGTAAGACCTCTTAATCGGTAACTTAACAAAATCGCAATAAAACATTCTGACAAGATGAAAGGGGTCTGGGCGTCAGAAGTGCCTATGGTTACCTCTAACGAGATGCTAGAGGTGTATGCCAGAGAAATTACCGTGGACCAAGCAACGAAATTTATGCGGGCTCTTAAGTGGAACGATCGGTCTTGGACGGAGAAGTACTAGTACCTGGTAGCCGTAGCAAGTTCGACGATCTGTCCAGATCGATTTGTGCGTCAGTACATCAGCGAGGAGGTTACGCCGGAGATGAAACGAGCCATACAAAAGCGGCTTGATCATCGCCGCTCTGATTATTCTAAGCAGGCGTGGTAGCTGGCGGAATTTGCCAGTACATTTGAGGAAAACTTAAGCGCAAATGTAGTAAGCAGAAACGGGCATTCCATTTATAAGGTCGAATATATTCTCGCATAGGGAATGTTACTTCTGATGCAATTGTATCTGGCGACGGAAGACTATGCTGGGTATGCAATCATCTCGGGAATACGAAGCAAGAGTGCAAGAACAAAGCCGGTGGTAAATAGAAGATAATTTCCTTTAGTATTGGACACGCCGTTAATAGTTAAAAAGACGCGGATTCTCGGTAGTGGCACCATCCGTCATCTGATTATAAAGTACCAGTTTTTTGTCGACGCAGACAACTGCTTTGACGAGTGTAATGTCTGTGGCAAAGTCACTAATCAAATTTTGGGACGTTGATCGGTGGCTACCCAATTAAAACGCTACTTACTGGTGGAAAATGACACCAAGTGATTTGGCGATCCTATAGAAGATGGAAGGTGATCTTAAGGAGATTAACGAACCGACCCAACTGTCGACAGAATGATGGATGTGGAACAATTTGAGACGAGGCGTAGAAAGGGATGATTTCAATGGAACAATCTGAGACGAGTCGCGGGCACAGATGCGTTCCATGGTGCGATCTGGGACCAGGTGATGCGATGTGATCCTGTTGCCGAGATGCAACAATTTGCAGATCGGTGATACTCTGTACCTGTCCCACAATGGTAGTACTGATTTTGATTAGTTATAGCCAGATCGGGAAGTGTGAACACTTATGGGAGTCCAGATGGATATTTTAAGACGCGTAGATGGTCCCGCTGATCAGATAAACC